GGAATTATTAACAGGAACAGCTGCAGGTCACGTGCAACAACAACAGACACGAGGGCTAATGCTGCCCTCTAAATGGGTCCCTTCTTTTGTATTGATCCCCTACTAATACCCTTTCGAATCCCCCTTTCTAACTCTCCCCCCCAAAATAATATATCGCCCCTTTTAGAATGTATTGACCCACAAATTAATGAATATTCATGAGCACAGAAACTGCTACGTCATGAATAAATTAGCATAATTTTTAAAAATTTGCATAAAGTGTAGGTACGTCTTCTAGAGTCCTGCAGTCTTGTCTACCCCATTCTAGCAGTGAAAAAAACCCCTGTCCAGTGCGAGTTCTGTGGGTGTCCCTCTCAATTGTGATAAGCAGGTCACTATAACAAATACTACATATAATTTTTTGCATTGGTCACCAAACAAAATTTTGAGATATGATGAAATGTTTCTGCTATAGGAACCAATTATAAACTACTCAAAAACACGCATTTTTTTATCAATTTTTGAGGTCGTTTTGTAGAAAATATAGTTTAGGGACCCTATATTTTTATTTCAGAATTTTGAAAAATAAAGTAACCCAACCCCTCATGCTCGATTTCAAGATTTTCTATTTCTTAATGGTAGCAAACTAACATAAATGTAAAATAACTGCCCAGTTGATTTAAAATTCATGGTTGGATCAAAGTGTGCAGCTCGATGAATGACATAACTATATAAAACATGCTGTGGTCTTTTCAGCCTAGTTTCTCACAGTATGTTAGAATATTAAATATGACTATACCCCTGAACATGCAAGGTGTCTAACCAATATATTTACTCCTAATTGCTTTAATTATGCTGCAGCAAGAAGAGACAAACAAATTTGACTAACCTCATCTGGAGAACTGAATTCCACAATCTCAGTACAAAGGTTACTGCATTTTATTGTTCCTAAATTCTGATGGTTGGATTTTCTGTTACAAGCATCTTTATACAGCATGTATGGTGTACCAGTTTCTGTCTGTGCTTCAATGATACGCTTCCACAGTTCTTGTGCTTTAATTGTATTTCTACAACAGTTATCACTCTCATATCTGTGAGAAAAAAAAGAAATATATAATAATAATACATATACATTATAAAGAAAGGATATTAAATTATTATTTCAACTTTGAGTTGGTCGCAAACACAAAATAAAACTGTGTAGAAACAGGAGACCCAAAACCCCAATTGAAGAAAAATTCAAGTTTCTAGAGGATGAAATCCACTTTCCATCCTCTTGTGAATTCAGCAATAATCTTCTGAATTATAATAGCACTGATAGAACACATCATGAATAAAACTTCAATTAATTTACTCAGACATGTTATTTCCAGATAAGTTCACAGGCACTCAGTATTACAAGACATAAATGTCACAGTCCCCGTTAATTAATTATAAAAAACTCATGTTAAAATAATACATGGAACATCTGCAAACAAATGAATTAATATGTACTCTATATGGGTGCAACTCATCATAAAGTGATTTCCCTTAATCTAGTTATACTGATAACTGAAAACTTTCATTGACCCCCTTCCAAAATCTCAGAGTACACAAGTGCAACCTAACTATGTCTGCATTCATAAATCTGAGTAAACCTTGATGTACCTTTAATAACAACTTGACTTCTTTGTTAATTCAGGTCTTTGTTGATTATCAGGACCTAGGTTTGTTTCATTATCACCACTATAATTCCCATCAAAATGTAGCCCTGACATGCCTCAACTGATTCAGATCAAGGTCATGACCAGATCATAACATCACTAAAAAAAAATAGCATTACAATCTAATCTTAGACTAATTATTTACTCTGAGCATGCTCAGTTGCTCTGTCAGTGCAGTAGGGAAAGGTAATTTTGGATGAAAAGATTTTGAAAAAGACCCACATTTTCAGATCTGGAAAAAAAAATTATGTTTTTCGAAATAAAAAGTTTTTATTATTTTAAACAGTACATAATATGTAATAATAATTTTAAATTCATGATTATAAGGCATGCTGTATCGTCATACTTTTTGTGAATATTTTCTGTAACACAAATTCTTAGTCTTTTTTATGTATAGTGCAAACTGAGTTTCTGTTTCATTTAGCTAGGTTCGAATACATTAGGTAAAAACTTGTAAATCAGAAATCAGGAATTTCTGAATCTGAATTTAACAGAATCAACTATTCAGAGCATGCTCAGTTGCTCTGGCAGTGTAGTAGAGAGAGGTAATTTTGGATGAAAATCATGAAAAAGACCCACTTAGGATTTAAGATCTGGAGAAAAAAAATTACGTGCATATGTAACACAGACTTGTTCATCAACCGGCCAAGTTTCATTGACATCTACTTCACAGTCCCTGAGAAAATGTGCGAGATAACTTGAAAATTAGAAAGAAAGTAAATCTAGTACTAATTATCCCTGGTTACTGCGTTGTATGAATCAATTCGTAAACCATCCTTAACTCCCTGGGGAGCACAGACACAGCTGCTCAAAACACCTCAGAGATAAGCACACACATAGCAATTACTGTTCTACAGGGTAGGCAGTTACTCCTGCATAGAAAGAAACACAAACATAAAGTGTCTTGCCCAAAGACACAACATTATGAACTGGCAAGATTCAAACCCTCTGATTGAGAGAGAGGTATAGCCATTGTACCACAATGCCTTCTTGTTTTAGCAGCGGAACATTTCTTGTATCACAACTGAAATTCTATATCTTATTCTTACTTCAGATAGAGGTCTTCAAATTCTTTCCCCCAGACTTCATCAAGACCAGGACATTCATTCGGACACATCAATGTCCAATCTTGGTTGGTTTCAACACGTTTCATGAATAGATCAGGAATCCACAGAGCATAGTCTAAGTTATGAGCTCTTAATTCTTCCTTTCCTGATTGTTTCTTAGCATCCAAATAATCACAGATATCCGCATGCCACGGTTCTATGTACACTGTAACTCTGCCATGGATCTGTTGACGGATACACAACAATCAAATATGTACTGATATTCCATGAAACACATTCTACAAAGATTCAAAGATGAGTACATGCTTACATTAACATGACTTACCTGTCTACCATCACTGTCTACACCAATGTGTACATGACATACCATTACATCAACATATAACTTACCTGTCTACCACCACTGTCTACACCAGTGTGTACATGACATGCCATTACATCAACATATAACTTACCTGTCTACCACCACTGTCTACACCAGTGTGTACATGACATACCATTACATCAACATATAACTTACCTGTCTACCACCACTGTCTACACCAGTGTGTACATGACATACCATTACATCAACATATAACTTACCTCTCTACCACCACTGTCTACACCAGTGTGTACATGACATACCATTACATCAACATATAACTTACCTCTCTACCACCACTGTCTACACCAGTGTGTACATGACATACCATTACATCAACATATAACTTACCTCTCTACCACCACTGTCTACACCAGTGTATACATGACATACTATTACATTAACATACAGACCCACCAGAAAGTATTTAAGCACCTGTCATTTGATCGTTTTCGTAACTAAAAATAACAATTCCGGGTAACATGATGTGTTGACTTTAAAATATACTAAATTCAAGAAGAACTAGTGCATTTTAGTCAAAATAAAATGGTTGATTTGTATTTAGTTTTTTTGTATGTAGACGTTTTTTCAGTGAGCGAAAATCCCAATGGTTAACTCTATGGGAGCGCGCTCATTTGCATATCATTTGCATCTCATTAAAACTTTGCGCCATAAAACATGTGCAATAGTCATGTCCTTTCTCATGCAAATTTGAACCAATTGGGAAGCTGAAATTATTTCAACACGCGCTTCTGGGCAGGAATACCTGTCTGTTATAGTTCATGAATATTCCTATCGAGGTCATAGTGTCAGATACGTAATTTTTATTTACAAACATTGAGCCATGCCGAAAGTTAGGGAATTGTCAGAATTTACTAAAGGGAACATTGAAGCACTGTATACAGAAGGAGTTTCTAATATGGAAATAGCAAGAAGACAGGGAATTTTTGAAGGCTCCATACATTTCAACCTGCGAAAACTTCGTCTGCGAGGTAGTATGGGCAATTGTTGTCGATCAGGTCGACCAAGGCGTACAACGCAACGCGAAGACCGGCTACTCATCAGGTCTAGTTTAGCGAATCGGTTTCACACCGCCAGTGATTTGCGTGCCAATTTTAATCAACTTACTGGGAAAAGATTGAGTTTGAGCACTATAAAATCAAGGCTATATAAGAATGGTAATCTTCGCGGCTGTGTTGCTAAAAAGAAACCAAAACTACAACCTCGACACAATGCAGCGCGGTTGCAATTTGCCAGACAACACATCGACTGATCTCAGGCACAGTGGGCTCAACTTATCTGGTCAGACGAATCCAATTTTACGGTGTTTCGTAGCCGTGGAAGACTATTTGTACGTCGGAGACCAGGTGAAGAGTACGACCTGAAATGCATTAAATCTACAATAAAATTTGGTGGTGGTAGCGTCATGGTGTGGGGATGTTTTTCGGCTACCGGCTTAGGGTCGCTAGTCCGTGTACCGATGACCATGAACCGATGGAAATATTTGGATATCCTGCAAAATGAAATGATACCGCCGACACTAAGACTCGTTGGACCCAAGTTTCATTTCCAACAGGATAATGCCCCCATTCACACAGCATTGGCAGTGAGGGATATCCTAAATAATCCACAAGAGTACGGATATCTTTTCGTCAACTTACCACTTTGAATTGGCCTGCACAGTCTCCAGATTTGAATCCTATTGAAAACCTTTGGGAGTTGATCGATTTAGAGGTGCATTCCTGACCAGTCGCTAACATCGAGGATTTATTCGCGAGTATAATGGAAGCTTGGGGACAGTTCCAGGTGAACATGTGTCGGAAATTCGTCGGTACCATGCCAAAACGGCTTAGAGAAGTCATCCAGCGAAGAGGTGGACACGCGCATTATTGACAATCGCCGCGTTCTATTTCTTCATGAATATTCATGAGCTTGCGTTTACACGGTATTCTCCGTAGAGAATTCAAACGTTTTTTCACTGTTTCGTTCAGACTGCCGTTTTTATCCAATCTTGCATGACAATGAAAATTTGGTTGTTTTTATTGTGTGTAAAAACGCATATTTTATTAGATATAAAAATATATTTATTCAAACCGTTATTGAGTTTATTTTGTATGATATCGTAGGTAGTAACTGCGTGTAGTGTGGTGTGTAAATACTTTCTGGCGGGTCTGTATAACTTACCTGTCTAGCACCACTGTCTACACCAGTGTGTACATGACATACTGTTAACATTAACATATAACTTACCTGTCTACCACTACTGTCTACACCAGTGTGTACATGACATAATGTTAACATTAACATATAACTTACCTGTCTACCACTACTGTCTACATGACATACCATTATATTAACATATAACTTACCTGTCTACCACCACTGTCTACATGACATACCATTATATTAACATATAACTTACCTGTCTACCACCACTGTCTACACCACTGTCTACATGACATACCATTGCGTTAAAGATGCGCAAATTCTGAATGATACTCTTCGCATCGCTATTCGTCTATAAACATAAAAGGAGGATATAAATATTCATGCATGACAATTTTGTTCTAATTGATTGTACACATATTTTGCCCTGAATGTGGCAGATGATGGGTTAAAGTCACATAACATATAAGAACACTGAATTTAACAGAGGTTAACAAATCTGTTAAAATTCTGCTATAAAATGAGTAAGCAAACAAATGCAACCTACCCCTGATATATAACTACCTAAAGCTCTAATATTCTGTACACCTAGTCCAATGTTTCCGCTGTGTTTACAAATCAATGCACATCGTTTCACAGTGTCATATATTTCAGTGACACTGTCTGATACAGGAAGGCAAAATGAACTGAAATAAAAAAGATTGAGGAATTCTGATATAAAATATACCGCTAAACAAATATAACAATTCAAACAACTCTATCCCAACCAGATCATTTATAAATATAGGGGACTACTTCAAACACCAATCTATTTTGAGTTTGGTCAATATTTCTCAATCAGTCACATTTGATATTCCAGATTTCTGGTTACTGGACTATTTGAAAGTTTAGTGAAATACAAAATTGTTCAAAGCCTCTGTTAGTCTGTCTGTACGCCAGAAATCATATTTCAGAACTTACTGAACGGATTTCATTCATTCATTGCATGTGCTTAGTACTATATGTGGGACATATGCACATGCAACTATTCATAAAAAAATTGTACATACATTATAAATGTTCATGACAATTTAAATTAACTTAGTCTGGTTGGAAATAAATTCATATTTCCTCCTGAGATGCCTAATTTAAAACTCATACAACAGATTACAACTAAATATGTGTAAATAACTAAAAATCCAAGTTGTATATTTTCAAATATACGATGTATGTTAATCACATGGCACATCTTCATGTTTGAATTGTGCTTTGTTCTCATTAAATTGTACAGTGCCTTAATTTTCTGCCATGAAAACATTGTGTAATTGGGTAATAAAATCAAAGAAAGCTTAGAAAGAACTCCTGTG